AACTTAAATTTTCTCGTTAAAGACCCCACAATAAAATTGTTCCTAACAGCCACATCCCAAGCCCCTTTGTGAAGAATGTTTTGGCTGCTTTACCCTAAAGAAACAATCCTTGACTTCTGTCATCTTAAAATGGTAGTGTCAGCCAAAGACTCATTTCCCACAATATATATATATAAAAGCCCTAGGACCTTGAAGGAACTATTTAACAAAATTTTCACACATGTAAAATTTCACTGAAAATAATTATATTTCTCTCATTTGTAATTCCCACCCGGCATGTATGTTTTCAGTTAATTTTTAGGGATATAATTTCTAAAATTAGGGGACTCAAGTTTCCTGCTTTCTACTTTAATGTTTAAACTCTCTAACATGAGTTATACAATTGTGAAGGACAAAATAGTTGTCATCTGACTCAGAGGATGGAAGAAACTTCAACACACATTATCTGATCATTTGCMAGTTAGGAAGGGTGTGCCGCTCTTCACTGCTACCACAGATAAATTAAGGAACTCTTGATGAGTGGAGCCRTTTCAAATGGTTTTAGAAAAGAATCAGAGATGATGGGCTAGACAGCATGCATTCTAAACTTGTTTTCCATACAATTTGAGCTTCTTGAACCACTAAAATTTATTAAATCCAAATGCAGCACAGAAGCTGCCCTAGGTCATTTATCAGGTCTATTATCTAAAAGGCAAATAACTGGATGCTGCACTACAGGTAGGCCTAGATGCCCTGGTTGCACACAGAAATGGCTGTTTTCGGTAGAATGCAAGGCTCTATTTCCCTTTAACCATAAGAATTAAAACAATACTTATCACCATACAGTTTGATATTACTGCCAATAAGTATAATATTTATTTAACATATCTTCACTTATTTTGTTACATAGTGTGCAACAAATTGCAATAATCTGCATCCACAAATTATATGCAGAGTATGAAGAAACTATTCATCAGATAGTGTAATCTTTCCATTTATAACTTTACAAGGAAGAACTAGCAAATCAGAACTTAAATAGAACATCTCACTAAATTTTATGCATAGAAAGTGACAGACACTGGTTGTGCTGTTTGATACAAAGTGGCTGAACTTCATCTTCAGAAGACTAAACCCAACATCTAAACATGCTCATATAAACATCAAAACAAAATATATTTTAACCAACCATGGGAAACAGTCTCATATCAGGAAAGCAACAAAGATTACTCACATTATTTTATAAACCAGCACACAAAGGTTTAAAACAGTTCTGAAAATGAAGTTAGCTGTATGAGTCCAGGGAACAACAACAACAACAAAAAAAAACAAGTCCATATTGACCATTTACAATCTGACCTTTGTAGAGATGGTAAGAATCTGTTGTGTGCAGCTACATACAGTACAATTCAGGAAATTTTGTTTTTTTACTTGGGTTCAGATTGCAAATTCATTGCTTTGAGAAAAGGATGGAGGTCAATTTTAGCAGCAACCTCCACCTGACTGCTTGACTGGGGTGCTCTGAATTTTTACATTGAACTTCTCTCTGCCACCAGCTGTTGCTCCAGGTCCCTGCTTTTAATCTCAGCTGCTATCATCATAAAAGACTGTGATACATTTGTTGTGTTCTTAGCACTGGTTTCTAAAAATGGAATTCCAAAGAAATTAGCAAATTCCTTTGCTTTTGTGTAGTCTACTAGTTTCTTTGTGGTCAGATCATATGGATTCCCTACCAACAACTTGTTGACATTTTCACTGGCATAACGATCTATTTCCTGCAGCCACTGTTTAACATTATTGAAGGACTCCTGATCTGTCACATCATACACAACCATGATGCCATGGGCTCCTCTGTAATAACTGGTRGTGATTGTTGGGCATCTTTCTTGGCCTGCTGTGTCCCATATTTGAAGCTTGATTGCTTTCCCATCTATAGTTCTTATTTTGAAATCCTCACCAATTGTGCTGATGTAGCTTTCTGTATATGTATCATCTACAAACCTAAAAAGGAGACAAGACTTTCCAACCCCAGAGTCGCCAATCAGAAGTAACTTGAATTAATAATCATATTTGGGATTCATGCTGGACATGGTCACTGCAGCTGTCACTGCTACCACTGCCACCCTTACATCATCCCTCACTCCACTCCTTTAGAGCACAATCAGCAGCTGCCACTACCCAGCTATTGCTTCCACCCAAAGTCCCATTTATTAATTCTTGGTATAATTTCCTGAGATTTAGGACTTCTGTTAAGGAAGTTGCTGCCTGCATCTGTATCTTGGAGTGTCAACCCTATGTTTTCTTCTAGAAGTTGCAAAGTTCTGGTCCAATTCCTAGATCTTTGATCCATTTGGAGTTGAATTTTGTGCAGGGTGAGAAATAGGGACTTTGTCTCATTCTTCTTCATATGGATAATCAGTTTTCTCAGCACCATTTGTTAAAAAGGCTGTCTTTTCTCCATGTGTGTTTTTAGTGCCATTGTCAAGAATCAGATGAATTTTATTTTATTTTTGATTGACACATGATAGTACCTATTTATGGGGTACAATATGATATGCAATGCAAGTATACATTGTGTAACGATCAAATCAGGGTAATTATCATATCTGTCACCTTAAACATTTATCATTTCTTTGTGGTAAGAACACTCAAAATTCTTTCTGGCTCTTATCACCCTACTATGCAAAAAGAAACACCAGAACTTATTTTTCTAACTGAAATTTTGTGTACATTTCTCATTCCAATTTTCATTTTCTTCTATTATGGGCTTTGGGGGTGAGCAGGAATTTAAGAAGAGCTTATTGACAGTGGGCCAACTGACAGGAATGAAATTGAAATGAAAGAGAGGAATTTGTACATCATTCAACTGCATTGGCATACCCAGTCTTCTACCCAAGGAATTCTTTTAGGATGGAACTTGACTGCCAAAAGATTTCATTCATTCCAGGTTTTCTAGAGAATAAAGGAGAAAAGGTATATAGTTCTTGTCTTCAAGAAATTATAAGTCTAATGATTAAGACCAAGAGAGAAATGGATGATTTCAATATAGCATGGTAAATACCAGGAACCGTGCATTAGAGAAGGTTGCCATAGAAATAGAAAGGTATGTGGTTGGACTTGAGGTTCAGAATAGATTTGTGGGGAGGCAGTGCCTGAGCTAAATTAACTGAATCTTGGTTGTGCCGTGACTGTGAGTCTCCCCTTTGCTATTAGAATTGCTGATAGAGCAGAACGTGGTGGCGCACACCTGTAATCCCAGCAGCTAGGGAGGTTGAGGCAGAAGGATCATGAGTTCAAAGTCAGCCTCAGCAATGGTGAGGAGCTAAGCAACTCAGTGAGATTCTGTTTCTAAATAAAATATAAAATAGGGCTGGGGATGTGGCTCAGTGGTTGAGTACCCCCAAGTTCACTCAACTATCAAGCCCCCGGTATGGAAAAAAAATTGCTGATAGAACTGCATGACCAGATTCTGAGATTCCGAGATTCCCTAGTCCAGGTTGGAGTATGGGCTGTTCATTATTCTACAGCTCTAAGGTTAAACTCGGTGTCTGAAACTTCTGGTTGTGCCATGACTGGTTGTGCTTGGAGCAGTTCTACTGTAAATTTCTCCGTAATAGCTCCCAGAAGTTCGGCTGGGTGCATTTAACAAGCCCACTGCTGTACTCTATTCTTCCCATTCCTTTTTTTTTTGCATATTGAGAATTCATGTATTTAATAACACAACAGAGTAATGTTACTAATATATAATTGTTTGAAAATTATATAAATTTCATTTTGTACATACTGATTACTGAACAAATGTTCCTTATCAGTTYTAGCCCAAGTGTTGATATGGAAATTTAGAATCCTTCCCTCCACTGGTTCTTTTCTTCTCAATACATGACTTCCAAGTTTATGAAGTTTGTGTATTCAAGCCAGAGAAAAAGGAAGAAACAAGGGAGACGCTCACCCTTGACCTTTACCTTGAATAAGAGTTGATAAATTTCCAATCAAAAACTGATCTTAGGTTAATATTTAAACATAAGCAGGGGTGTGTACTTACTTTCTAGTCACAACTCTGTACTATGGATATTCTTCCCGTTCTTACCCCACCCCCAATAGGATCAAAGGAAGACAAATGAGCCCTTCATCAGTCCTATGCTCCGGTCAAGAAAATAGAGGGAACTGGAGGAGAGAACTGGAAACTTGGCCAGAGAAGTTTCAGTTGTGGTTGAAAGCAATTTGTGACCCTGGATCAAGCTCCTCTGCCTGGGCATTTCCTTGGGATGTGGCCCTAAAAGCCCAGGCACATTAAAAACTTTGGTCACTTCTTATGATAAAAAGACACAGAGTACCTGAAAATAGAAAATAGATACAAGTGCTACCAATCATGCTTAAATGCCTCATTGTCTCACTTTATCCTTGCACAATCCTCATAATGAAATAGGCAGTATTATCTTCTGTGGTAACTATTATTCCTACTTTAAAAATGGCATTCTTCCAGGAAGCCAAAACCCAGAGAGTTTAAATGACACCAGGGGTCAGGGGGCAGATCCAGGATCCAGATCCAGGCATGGCATGCTGCACTGTTATGTCTTCAATGACAGTCTTTAAAGTAACACAGTTGCTGAAAGGCAAAGGATTCAAAAAGAGATAAAGAATGCCAAGAACAAGCTTAGCCTGTTTTCCATTTTCCCCAACTAAGAAATTGACAAATAGGGATAGGGATACAGCTCAGTTATAGGGATATAACTCTCAGTTGGTAGAGTACTTGCCTTACATGCACAAGGACCTGGGTTCTAATCCCCAGAACCACACACACACACACACAAAAAAAAAAAAAAAAAAAACAAGAACTAAGAAATTGACAAATAAAAATGGTTTGTAAAACATATATGGCACTAGTGTAGGCACTAAGTGTAGGACTCCAGTTAATCAGAATATTGCTGATGTCTTGGTTAAGGCTTTCTTTATTTTGCAATCTAACTTCTAAAAGGGATGTCCAATCTCTTTCCATGTGAACAATCTTAACACTCAATGAAACAGTATTTATTTTTTCTTTTTTTTGTTTTGCAAAAGTATTTTTAATTGATTTTTTAAAAAATAAATGACAGTGGAATGCATTGCAATTCTTATTACACATATACAAGCACAATTTTTATGACAGTGGTAGAGCGCTTGCCTAGAATGTGTGAAGTACTGAGTTTGATTCTCAGCACCACATATAAATAAATAAATAAATAAATTAATAAATTAATATCCATTCACAACTAAACAATATTTTTAAAAAATATGAAACAGTATTTCTTAAACAACTGTTGCATTGATTGCTTCTCCAAAGCTCATCACATTTGTAACTACATTTAGTTCTGAACACTACATTTACTCTGGACTCTAATACATGCATGTGTTGCAATATTGATCTTCACTTACAAATAAAAGAGATCTTAGAGGCTTTGAGTTTTCTACATGTTATTTTCTGTTTCTTCACAAATATTTCCTTTACCTTTTTCTCCCCACTTTCAGGATGGATGATGGCCGGCTCTTAGACTATCTTATGAATCATGATGAGCTGATGGAAGAAAAAGTAGCTTTTTACATTCGAGACATCATGGAGGCTCTGCAGTACCTTCACAACTGCCGGGTTGCACATTTGGACATAAAGGTAATAAGAAATAACAGCCTTGACAGTGAAACAGCCAAGTGCAAYTTACCAGTCATTACCCTTGAGGAATGCAAATTTGAATTCATTTCATTTACTTAGATTAGGATCACTTGGCTATTAAACAGAAATGAGGTTTTCCCACAACTTAGTGCATTATTTATGAATGAATGAGWTCACACCAGAGGCTCAATGACATCTGAGGTGAGACAGGGGAAGAAGCTTTGACTTCCCAGGATAGCTTTATAGAAGGAAGTCCACAATGTACCCTTCTCTTTCATGCTGCCCCCCAAAAATCMTCTGGCTAKGCAYGGTGGCATATGCYGTAATTCCAGCAGCTYAGGAGGCTGAGGCAGGAAGATCACAAGTTCAAAGCCAGCCTCAGCAACTTAGAGAGGCCTTAAGCAACTTAGTGAGACCCTGTCTCAAAAGACTGGGGATTTGGCTCAGTGTTTAAGTGCCCCTGGGTTCAACCCCTGGTTTAAAAAAAAAAAAAAAAAAAAAAGCCCTATTCTCCAAAAGAATAATTTCTTCCTTTTTTGATTCAATGCTGAAGCAAAGGGTAATTAAGAGGATATGATATTTGGGACTGTAGTTCAGTARCTCAGGAGGCTGAGGCAGGAGGATCCCAAGTTCAAAGCCAGCCTAAGCAACTTAGCGAGGCCCTAAGCAACTTAGCAAGATCCAGTCTCAAAATAAAAATTGGGCTGGGGATGTGGCTCAGTGTTTAAGTGCCCCTGGGTTCAACCCTTGGCACAAAAATAAATAAATTAATTAATTAATTAATTAATGCCCCTAATTCTCCAAAAGAATAATTTCTTCCTTTCTTGATTCAATGCTGAAGCAAAGGGTAGTTAAGAGGATATGATATTTGGGGTTGGGACTGTAGTTTAGCAGCTCAAGAGGCTGAGGCAGGAGGATCCAAAGTTCAAAGTCAGCCTTAGCAACTTAGTGAGGCCCTAGGCAACTTAGCAAGTCCCAGTCTCAAAATTAAAAAATTAAAAATGGGCTGGGGATGTGGCTCGGTGCTTAAGCACCCCTGGGTTCAATTTTCTGTACCCCAAACAAACAAACAAAAAAACTCAGAGAACTCAACTTCCTTCTCCTCTCCCTGGATCCCTGCAGCCTGAAAACCTACTCATTGACCTACGGATTCCAGTGCCTCGGGTGAAGCTCATTGACTTGGAAGATGCTGTCCAGATCTCGGGCCACTTCCACATCCACCACCTGCTGGGGAACCCTGAGTTTGCTGCCCCAGAAGTGATCCAAGGCATCCCAGTCTCCCTGGGCACAGACATCTGGAGCATTGGGGTTCTGACATACGTCATGCTGAGTGGGGTCTCCCCCTTCTTAGATGAGAGCAAAGAGGAGACATGTATTAACGTATGCAGGGTAGACTTCAGCTTCCCCCACGAATACTTCTGTGGCGTGAGCAATGCTGCCAGAGATTTCATCAATGTGATCCTACAGGAGGACTTTCGGAGGCGACCCACAGCAGCCACTTGCCTGCAGCATCCCTGGCTGCAGCCCCACAATGGCAGCTACTCCAAGATCCCCCTGGACACCTCTCGCCTGGCATGCTTCATAGAACGCCGCAAGCACCAGAATGATGTGCGTCCTATTCCCAATGTCAAGAGCTACATCGTCAACCGGGTGAACCAAGGGACATAGCCATCTCCCAGCCCCAGAGGTTTCACATAGAAGTGYGGTGTGAACCAAAGCAAGACTGAACATGTCTGTACATAATTCTGTTTGTGATTTCACCCATGCAGTTCTCTGAATTGAGAGATGTCCTCTTAAATCTCATCAGTGGTTATTCAGGGTTTGAGCAGCAGTAAAAGTCACCCTAAATCCAGGGACTTTCCAGAAGKTCATCCTGAAAAAAAATAAAGATGCAAAGAGTTGCAGAAAGTATTAAAAGAAAGGGCAAGAAGAACAAGAATATTAGCAGCTATAAAAATTTTAATTGTACATTCCAAAAATGAGTGGCTAAGTGGGCAAACCTTAAGCTCAGAAGGGTGAGTGTTATAGGTTTCTGACTTTGCTGAAAATTTACAAAAAAAAAAAATCTATTTAACAGAAATGTCATATATGTCAACTATTCTGGTTTAAATGACTTAGATATAGTTTCTTAATAGGATACATATACACATACAGTATAATAGATCCCATTCAGGTTTCAGAGTTTTATAATATAGAGTTATATATGAAATCAATCATAAGTAACTTTAAGTGCTCCAGTTAAGACAATAATTTATTTACCGAAGCATTACATTGTTTTGACTAAGCACAATTAGATGACAAGTTTTTTAGAGCATTTTATAAATCTTGTATAGAAATCTTTTACCAGAACCTGTGCATAAAGAGAAAGCAATGTTACCCTTTTGCAATCTGTGAATGAGAAGATTTTTTTCCTCTCAATCATGAGTTATTTGATTAAGATAGGTTCTGTATATGAAATGCTACCCCTGAATGTACTGGAGGCTCAGAGTTCACCTGGCAAGAAAGCCTGCCAGGAAACAAGCCCAAATCCAGTAAGAGTTGTGGGGTTATTTTTATGTCTACACCTGGCTTGAAATAGGTAAACCGATACCACAGGTTCATACAAAAGGGCAAACAGAAACCTTTCTACAGTCCAATGAACAAGRTACCAATACTTTCTGATTTCTTCTACAACAGTCTTCAGAAAGTTGGCTTGTTTTATTTCTAACCCCTTTGGAAGCTAAGGGGTGCTTACCAAAAGGAGGCAGCCATACAAGCCTTTTAAAGGCCTGGTCCTAAGTCCTTTATGAAGCCATGAAGCAAAACCTGATACATCAMCTGAACAGAGCGTTGAGTTTTAAATGAGATTGCAATACCTATCACCACCTAGCCACCAATATTTCTCTGGACTAAAAGGACTAATTGTATTTTGAGGCCAATGCTGCTTTCTGGTGTATATTCTCCATACAAGATTATTAACTGCCCTTTTCCCTTCTGATGGGAAAACAAACTTGGGCATTTCATGGTTTTTGCTTTTTTTGGGGGTGGGGGAGGGGATTGGTTTTTGTGTTTGTACATGATCCACTTCTTGTTTTCTGGAATGTGTTTTGAAAATTGCTTTTATTCAGATAAAATTCTAAAAAAAAAATGTAATTCAAGTGTTTGTTCAAATCAGGTWAAATGGCATTTCTTCTCTCCTACTAATGGGATTGAGAAAATTAAAATCATGCCGCACCGAAGTGTAAGCAAAGTATCCACAGAGGGTCAATACAACTACAAAGCTAATTAGATGAAAAGGAAATGATGGAAAMTAAGCCTGAACTTTAATCTATAAAGACACTTATTCCCACAGTGGAAATGTAGAATGAAAAATACTCATCATTCTTTTCCATTGGTTTCAAAGTCAGCTTACTCATCCACTCTCCACCTCAYACCATCCAAGATTATAGACTTAAAAATTAGTAGAAAGTACAAGCAATAAGGCTAGATAGCACTTAATATTTGGGGGATTAACCAAATATATGGAAACTGACTCCGACTGTCTTGTTTCCTAGTTTTCAAATGGCCCTGGGTCACCCAGCCTCACCCCTCCCAGGGCTCCAACCCTGCCCAGTCTCCAGTGAAGCTGTTCTGTATGTACACACATGATCCTATATGATACAATATTTTAAAGTTTAAAGTATGTTTACTAAAASCCACTCTAATAAATATCTCTTCATTATGGGATGTAGCACAACAGAGGGAAGCCTGGTCCATAGGGATTATCATGGGATAGATTGCAGGATCTGAGCATTCCAAATATCCATAAAATGTGGCTTGGCCAGTTCTTTCCACTGTGAATAACCTGAATAAACAGCTTCCTTCCAAGAGTCATTTAGAGTTGTKAGGACAAGCTGAGTTTCTGCTGGAGAGGGGAGGGTCTAGGGGGTCAGGTTAAATGGCATTTCTTCTCTCCTACTAATGGGATTGATACTGCTACAGGAGGGCAGTATTGAAATCCTGTGGCAGAGCTGGGCAGGGTGGATAGTCAACAGAATGTTARAGCCAAAGCGTTCATATTCACTTTTATATCTGAGATAAGATAATCCAGATGCGGGCTGCATGGAATCCACCCCCAAGAACATGTATTGGGAAAGACAAGAAAGGAGGGACATAGAAATAATAAGTAATGTGACTTTGTTAACTGGAGCCAAAGTACAATCATTAGAATAGAATGAACTTAACAGARGCCCTAAGAGAAAGGGAGTATATTTTATATAGTTTGATAACTGAAGAAAACTGATGGGGAGGCTCCCTATCTGCAAAGCTCCTGGTCCCTTCCAACAGAGATAAAATAATGGTCTTGTTTCAAGAATTCTCTATAGCAAAATAAGACAACCTGAAAATAAGACAACCYAGAAGATGAGGCTGGGAAATATAGTTTAGGTTGCTCTGTGGGCAACCATAGCAGGGGAGAAGGATCAGGACCTCTCTCTTGTACCTGTTTTGGCAGAGAGATTTATCACTTGGTAGCRGAGAAGAGGGGAGAAAAGAGAAAATAGTCCACTTCTATAAACATGGTAGTGCTTAGTAGGAGTGAATGTTCAGCTGAAAAATGAGAAAAACAAATGTTGGTTAAAGTCACAGGTGTCTTGCTTGGCTTACATTCCTGCATAGGGTTTAGAGCTTTTTTTGTTTTATGTTGTAGGGGTGGGATGCAGAATGAAGGAAAAGATCAGGGACAACCCATGGTCACTTGTAAGAAGTGTAATAATTTCCTACGTCTTTTACATTTGTTTCAAATTAAATAGATTTTTATCCACTTACAGCTGAATGTGGTAAARTTTTTAAGAAAAAAAAATTGTAATGTTAGAGTTGTCCTTCAGGTCTCTCCCAGCCATAAACAATCTAAGGGGGAGTGAAGGAGGCAGAGGAGAAAGCTGGCTTCGCTGCTTTGTGGTCCACAAAGCTTTTATAAATAGTAGTGCCTTTCAGAGGGGAGGATGGGAGATGAAGAAGTTCATTGCATTTAGATTTACTAATATTGCAGTATTTTTTCTTTATTTTAAAGTATGAAAACATCTGAATATAGGATGGGACCAGGAATTCTTGAGTTTCAACCTCAGCTATTCCAGATTCATCCTTTCTTACAGAAAGTCTTTTTTTTTCTGCCCCAAATATACCCATTGGTAAAATGGGAGTTAGGGGGGAAGGAGGGAGAACATTAATCTCTTACAAATATTGAGAAAATAACTATAGTTGGGACGTCTATAAAATACTTTGATTTTTTTAAAGTGCTACACACTGCCAGTGCTAAGAATTTTATTGATAGTAACTTTGAACATTCCAGGTTTTCAATATTCATGTCTTTAGATACCATTTACGAACTCGTGAGGTTAAATCTTATAAATTGCTTTTAACTGGAAGTACTAGGTGCTCTTTGTCTAAATGTGATTTGGTCTTACCTTATAGTTTTGATCATTTAAGAGCTTATCGACAGAAAAGGGTTAGGAGAGCTGATGAAGTCTYATGTCCACACAGTTTTATCCAATATTTCTTATGGCAGACATGAAGAATAAGATKCCCTTTAAAGCTACTGTTACCTTCTCTTCTCAAAGTTTATGCTCTGGAAAAATGGACAGAAAAGAACCCAAATAGTCACTTTCCTTACTGGGAGGGCAGAAGTGGAATAGAATATCTCCCTATAACAATTCATTTCTTCAAAGTCTCAAAAGAATACATCAGAAGCAGCGAATTAAATGTGCAGGTATAGAAATGAATTGGACTGTGGGTTCTTGGAGGAAATGCTTTGTATCTATATTTTAGATGGTCAGGTTTTTTTTCAGGAGTAGCATATTTGTTGTTCCAAAGCCTCCATAATTTAGTTCCTGTGAGTTAGTCATTAATTTTTCTTGTCTATGTAGAAGAGCATGGAAATTCAGTTTTATGAGAATACAAGGGAGCAAATATGATGTAAATGAAATGGTGGTTATTTCTGTGCATTAACTAAAAATTTGTCCCATGCATTTGATAGAGGAGGAAATATTTTGAACTGAAAGGGTCTCTTAGTAGGGCAAAAGTGCAAACTCACCACATCCTTATTYTGGGTAGCCCATGAATTGTACTGGATGAGTTTTGGGGGAATGTAGACCTTATTCCTTTCTCTTCTGGGTAGCATCCCTTTGGAGTCTGGGTTTGGCAATCACATCATATGAACTTTCAATGAATTTATTTGTAAAATTGCATCATGATATTTCTTTGCTATTTAAAATGTAGGGCTCTTTGGGAAAGAATGATTAGACCCAGGGTAGGCTGAGGGAAGACAGATCTCACACGTGCTCCATCAAGAAAAAGGAAGCTACTTGGTTAATATTTATTTTCTAAAAACAATAAGGCTCACAAATGTTTCATTAATTCTAGAGGGGTCTTAAAAAGGGCTGAAATCTGTCAATAGCACTAGATATTTTTCATTTGAAATATTACTTACATGGAAAATCTATACAGATATAGTAGAATATAGAAAATCATAAGGCCATGTTTTTAATGAAAGACATTTCTTCCTCATTTTCATTATATATAGAAGTCAGAGGAGAGAAATAAAACACTCTAAGACTATGTTTCATCTTTAAGAGAYACTTATAGAAAATCTGAAGTTAATTCTCACAGGGTATTATGTTTTCCCATCAGCCTGTTTGAGAAATTCTAAAATGTTGTTGGATTTAGTTTTTATTAACATGATGAAAACAACAATTTAGTCAGTTAACTTGTTTCAGATAGTAAGGTTAGCTGAGAACAGCAGGTGTGTTGGAAAAGTGCAAATAGCAATTCTTGAAATGTCAACTGTTTTAAGTTAACCAAGTGAATTTGCTAGCCAGGGGATAACCAGCATAGGAGTTCCATCAGTACCTTTCATCAAGAACTGAAACCACATTTTGGAGTATTATGGAGACTGTTACCGTGACCTCAAAAACTATGGCTATGAATTTGAAATGAACAAAGTATACATCTTCTCTTACTAACTTAAGCCATATCTATCATCTCTGTTTTTGTTTTTGTTTTTGTTTTAACCCTGGTGCTTTTACTTCTGTTTCTGCCAAACTTCAGCCTMTTCTATGGGGAAGGTGAGTAAAACTCGTAGTAGGACAAATATGAAGACTCTTAATCATACTCTTGAGAATGAGATCCTATTCAGAGAACAGCGATTAAAATGCAAACTGTTGGAAAATATAGATATATGTACATCTGTACATGTATATAGTGTATTATATGTATGTATATGTTATTGCTCATATGCAGAAATCTATCCATTTGCAGACAGCCCAGGTGGGTCASTTCTTCTATTGGAACACCATTTAGGGCCATTCAAAACCACGAGGGCTAATTCGTGGAGACAAATTCCACTCATGTAGGAATTCATTTGCTGTCTTTTGAAGTCCACAAAGCCAAAGTAACAAAGTGTGAAACAGTGGGACCATCATTCAGTCTATTCTGTTTCCCTGGAGTCAGATGTATCTTTATAGTTGAATTATTATTAGTGGGTTTGCAAACTGCATTGGCACCTTTTGGTTTTGAGTGATCCCTTCCCCCCCAAATCTTTTGAGAATTTGCAGTGGGCTTCTCTGGCCATTCAGATAAAGGGCCTTATCCATAAGTGGACAGGTTTCCCCATAGRGATCATTACGCATATACATATAAGTACATACTTCCATCAGGCTTGTAACAATTGAGTTTAAATCACTCCACAGTATTGATAAATAGCTCTATATTTTCAAGGTGCAGAAGAATTCCACAGCCTTAATTATTTCAGTGTCTTGCTGGTCTGCCTTAAGTGTATCTTCTGGGTTTTTGGTTGTTTAATTATTTTTAAAATTTTCTGCAGTTGTTCATTTTGTATGCACACAACGTCGTTTTGTAAAGGTAGGTTGTAAATATTTTATTTGTAAGTCAAAATCACTCATGTGTAATGTTGTAAAGTGATGACCTGCTGTCTTGTTATTATTACTACAGTAAATGTTATAAGTTATGGATGAAACTTCAGATGTACATCTCACATGTTATGCATTCCTATAAA